CCCGGCTTGACAAAGCCCTGGCTGGGATGATTTAGTTGGGGATTGGTCCTGCTTTGAGCAGGGGGTTGGACTAGATGACTTCCCGAGGTCCCTTCCAACCCTGATATTCTATGATTCTATGAACACAGCACTGTACTATATTTGCTGCTGCTTTTTTTTATTTTATTTTTTGGTCTCTGCTGCTGCCTGACTGTGGTCTTCCTGTTCCAAATGAGGTGTGTGGTGTTCGTAACTCTGAGGTTCTACTGTACATTTCTCAGTGAAGTCACTTCAGTCTGGGATAGAAGTTTCAATTAAAAATCATCCTGAAATCCAACAATTACATTTTTTAAAAATAGCTGATAAAAACTTGACAGAACTTTGTATGTTAAATTTTAGCCCTAAGCTGTTGTCTCCAGTAGAGTTTCATAATTCCTCGGCATAGGGGTTTATAATGCAAAGGTACACAGGCCTGTTAATACAAACTGAAAAAGCAGCTATTTGTTCACCTTTGACCGAATGCCCCATCTCCTCTAAAGTCAAAGCCACCCTGTGACTTTTAGCAGCATTAAACGCCTTTGAGAATTTCCTAGCTCCTGGTGCTTCTGGGATCTACCTCAAGCCCGATCAATCCCTGAACGTGCGGAAGAGGCAAGGAGGAGTCTGTGGGACTGAGGAAAGATGGAGAGAAGGGCATAAGGTGACCAGATAGTAAGTGTGAAAAATTAGGACATTTTGGGGGGGGGGAGGGCATAGTTGCGTATATAAGATAAAGTCTCTAATATGAGGACAGTGCCAATAATATCGGGACATCTGATCACCCTATGAGGGCAACAGGCAGTGTAAATTCTCTTACTTTCCCTCTGTGGACTTAGAAAACTCTGTGACTAAATTCACGTTCCTTTACTTCCCATGTCACATAATGGAAGGCAGCACAGGGTTCACCTTCCTGAGTTCGCCCTGATGTGTATAACCGTAGCGCCTCTATTAGCTTTATGTCCCCAGAGCAATGCAAAAACCTTACATTCATATAAACAGATTAAAAAAAACTAGTGAATCTTGTGCTCAGGAAAGATGATGGATTGAAAGAAAACCATCTAAACTGAAGTTTATTCACAGAATGGAGTATAATAGCAGACAGACAGACCGTGAGAGGAAGTTTGCAGTGGCTCTCTCATTGGTGGGACCATTTCTAGGAATGAAAGGTAGCTAGTTTCCAAGGTTTCAGAGTAGCAGCCGTGTTAGTCTGTATCCGCAAAAAGAAGAACAGGAGGACTTGTGGCACCTTAGAGACTAACAAATTTATTAGAGCATAAGCTTTCGTGGACTACAGCCCACTTCTTCGGATGCCCTGAACTTCCCTGCTGAGCCTGCCAGCAATGATATAAGTGGCATTAACTGTTTCGATGGTTTTGTTAACATGATTAACTGCCTACTAGCAACCAGCCTCAGGCCAGCTACTCAGTTAGGGCCCACTTCTGCAAGTCGTACTCACAGTGAATTATTCCTATGAGCCCTCCTACTGATTTCAATGGAACTACTCACATGAGTAAACATGTCTCAGTGGGACTAGTCCTGCCAACACCTATGTGATAATTTTTTCCCCAGGAAGTAGTGCCACTGAACTCAAAGACACTCACATGAGTGTTAGCCAGATCAATGAGCAACTGTTGCTGAACTGAACCCCTAACAGAAAGCCTCGCAGTTCGAGAATCAAGCCCTTAGCAGACAGGCACTCACTATGGTGATAGATGAGGTATAAATACCTAGAAAGAGTAATATTTCACGTAGGCCGCTTTTCAAAAAACTGATAAAGTCACAGCTTGCACTGACTATTAGCCTTCAGCTGCTTTTGAACTGGCAACCTAGTGTCTTCTCAGGTAATCAGCCCTGAGCAAACATTCTTAATTCTGCTTTCACTGTGTGTTAAATGCACACAATGGAGTTTATTTTCATGCCAAAGTGTTACCATAATATAATGACCCAAAAGGACAAAAGTAATACAACTGCTAAAGGTAATCTGAAGTGCTGCTTTTTTCTCCCTTCCCAAACTAACTGTTCTTCCACCACAAATTCTGGCTCGAAACTAATAAAACTATGAACACTTAATAAAAACAAATCAATAAAGAAGGTAGGGGTTGTGGTTACGACACTGGACTGGGATTTGGGAGATCTGGGTTCAATTTCTGGTTCTGTCACAACCTCCCTGGGTAATGTTGGCAAGTCAACTAAACTCTCTGTGCCTCAGTTCCCAATCTTCTGTGTGCTGTATTCCTTTGTCCCATCTCGTCTACTTAGAGTCCCTGTCCCAAGGAGTCTATCTACTTGTGCAGTGCCTAGCACAATGGGCCTGTGATCTAGGCTGCGGTCTCTAGGCACCATTGTAATATAAAGGATAAAACAGCTGTATTCATTTCTAAATATCTTTTTTACCATTAAATGCTTCAATAACTTGCTGGAGAGTTTCCAGTGAAATTCCACTGTATCCTTTTGCTAAAACATTGATCCTGAGAGCTAAAAGCATGCGAGTTCTCGCTGGGATCAAAGGCTTCCCGACACCTGCAATGACAACAATCTCAAGGTTACAACCCCCAATTCTAACAGTTGTGGAAGAGAAACAAATTTGAAATCAATTTCCACTACCTGCGGAACTTGACCAAACTAAATTCACTTGAAGTTCCCTACAAAGAAAGAAAAGTCATTTAAAAACCAACTTCCAGTGTTCAAACATAAAAAAAGTTTTTCACAAAACTGAGCAAAAAATATCCCTCTCCTTTTTGGTAGAAAAATGGACTAAAAATGTACACTGTAGAAATAATATACATCTACTTTCTATATCCATTTTCTAAATTAAAGAAGGAAACAGATACAACATACTTGAGTTTACTAGTTGGAATAATCGTTCGAGCAAACTTCCCAAAGCCAGTGT